TTTTGAGCCGATCTTGATGGTTTCTAATGCGATCGTGATGTTTCTGATCCGATCCTGATGGTTTCTGATCCGATCCTGATGATTTTTGATCCAATCTTGATGGTTTCTGATCCGATCTTGATGGTTTCTGATCCGATCCTGATGGTTCTGATCCGATCCTGATGATTTTTGATCCGATCTTGATGGTTTCTGATCCGATCCTGATGTTTCTGATCCGGTTACCTGGAGACCATGTTAAAGACAGTCTGATCCGTTTTTATTGAATTTAAACTCTTATTAAAATGGTTTCTGTTTGTGGTCCTTGATGAGGTCCTGGAAGGTGAACCAGAGTGTGGAACCCACTGGGTTCTAGAGTCCATGGAACCAGAAGGTCCAAATCTGATCAGCAGCAGAGAAGTTCTGGTTCTGACCAGAATGGGATAGGAACCACTGCAGTTCTGGTCCGGTTTGGTTCAGGATAAGGTTATGGTTTATGCATGTTCTGGTGCAGCTTTGGATCAGAACCAGAACCAATCAATCACTGGTTGGACCTTTACTGGGCCTGATGCACAGTTCCTCTGGGGGCCAGCAGGGGGCCCCCCTGAGACGGTTCTGGTCCTTGTGGGCGGGGCCTATCAGAACCCGGAGCAGCAGGTCTGAGCTGGTTCTGACTCAACCAGGTCCAGATTCCGAACCCAGGGAGGTAGGAGCTGCGGTCCGGGTCAGGTGGACCGGAACCAGGGGAGGTCTGCTGACTGAAGCTGTCTGTCTGTTTGCAGCCGAACCGGACCGAACCGGATCATGGAGATTTCATTTAGAGGGAAGCACGCGCTGGTGACCGGAGCGGGAAAAGGTGGGAGGTTCCGAACCACAGCCCGTTTGGGCCCAACTGTGATTTCATGAGCCGGAAGTGCGTCCCTAAACCTAACCCTAACCCTGTTCTGCAGCAGGAGAATCATCAAACAGAGGAGGCTCTGTGTATCCAGGATAGGAGCTCCAGTTTGGACAAGGCAGAACCAAAAACTCAACAGGCAGGGAATCAGGAGACAGAGCTCTTTATGCTCGAACCTGATCAACTCCACTATCAGAAGTCTGCTAAAGTTGAGGATCTGTATATCCAGGAAGGTTCTGATAAAACAAGATGGTCCAAAACATCTGCAGGGGATAACAAGGTTAAGATTTGGTCATACAGGACTTAATTATACACTTTTTAAAATACAAAAACATAAAACAGGCAAATGTGATTTCTGTGATAAATATGAAACCATAGAACATGTTATATTAGAATGTCATAAATATGAAAGAGAGAGAAGATATATGAGAAGAGAGTTTGAAGACATTAAGGAGAAGGTTAATTTATTAGATATACTGAGGAAAAATTTAGGGAGTAAACACATACAAATAATTATTCGATTTCTAAAGAAAACGAAATTATTCCATAGAATTTAATTATAGTAAGTGTGTTTGTGAGTGAAGGAATGATATACAAAGCTGTGAACAAATATGTTTATATTTTTAAGTGTGAATGTATGTTTAGAAAAAGTTAGGGTAGAATGTATCAGGATCAATATTTAAACCATCACGAACCACACTCCATACCAGTAAGTGGCGGTAATGCTACTAACAGTTTGTTGCCAACCGCCATAAAACTCGACAAGAAGAAGAAGAAGAACATCTGCAGGGGAAGAAGGTCCAAACAGAACCGGTTCTTCAGCAGAGAGCGACCTCTACCTCCTACGACGGAGTATTAGGGCCACACATGAAGAGAAAAAATATTTTTGCCATGACGAGATTAAACTCGACATGTCGACTTTAAAGTCGACATGTCGAGAATAAAGTTGAAATGTCTTGTTGAGTTTAATCTCGACGTGTCGACTTTAAACTCGCCATTTCGAGAATAAAGTTGATATATCGTGGCGACTTTAATCTCGACATTCCAAAGTTTGGAGAAAAGAGCAACCGCGCTCCACAGCTGCAGTCTGCGTTTTAAGAGTGAAGGTAGTCTTTGACGTGCTGCAGCTGTATAACTGTATAATCATCACAGAAAGTACAATTTGACCAAATCATCTACACAAGGCATGTCTGATTCTGGATTCTGTGCATGTAACCTGTGCAGCGGTTGGTTCTCTTGAACTAATTTCAACTTTATTGTCAACACGTCGAGATTAAACTCAACATGACATTTCAACTTTATTCTCGAAATGTTGAGTTTAATGTCGACAGGGCGAGTTTAAAGTCGACACGTCGAGATTAAACTCAACATGACATTTCAACTTTATTCTCGAAATGTTGAGTTTAATGTCGACATGTCGACTTTAATCTCGTCATGGCAAAAATATTTTTTCTTGTCATGTGTGGCCCTAATACTCCGTCGTAACCTCCAGAACCCATTCTATTCATTTTATTTCTATTGATTCACATCCTGTCATCTCGGGTCACTTTATAGATCCAGGTCATCCAGATCATCCAGTCAGATTTGTTCAAAGTTTTCTATCTAAGGTAAATCTGTTGATCTGAGATGTTAGATCCAGAACATTCTGGGGTCCATCTGGGGTTCCTATCAGTTCTGTCAGGTGGTCCGGTCCAGGCGGGATCTGGTGGTCCGGTCCAGATGGGATCTGGTGGTCCGGTCCAGGCGGGTTCTGGTGGTCCAGTCCAGACACGGTCCAGTCTGCAGATGGTTCTGTCTGGTGTTGTTGATCCATTTGGACCGACACCGGCTCTGATCCTCATTTCAGCCTCATTCTGAAAGAATCAGGACCCTGGTTCTGACCCAGTCCGGCCAAACCCTGATGCCTGCTGTGATGTTCTGTGTCTCAGGTATCGGCCGGGCCACGGTTCTGGCTCTGGCCCGCTGCGGGGCCCGGGTCACCGCCGTCAGCCGGACCCAGGCTGACCTGACTAGCTTGGTGCAGGAGGTACTGGTTCTGGTTCTCTGAATTCTGCTCTGATGATGGAACCGCTAAGCTGACCCCTCCTCCCCCCCACCAAGTGCCCCTCGGTGGTTCCAGTGTGTTTGGACCTGGCGGACTGGGCCGCCACAGAATCTGCCCTGAAGAACCTGGAGCCGGTGGACCTGCTGGTCAACAACGCCGCCTACGCCAGTCTGCAGCCCTTCCTGGAGGTGACACCAGACCAGTTTGACCAGTAAGGCGCTAACGGAGGCGAGTGATTCTGCAGAATGATGCGGTGGGTCAGAAGTTCTGAGTCGGTCGTGTTCTGCTGCTTTCAGGTCCTTCAACGTGAACGTCAAAGCGGTGCTCCACGTGTCTCAGGTAGAGTCTCCTCCCATTGTTTTCTGGGCCTAAAAAGGCCGCCAGCATAGAGGGAACTGGTTTCCATGGTAACACTTTACGGAAACATTTAAGAAAACGTAAAGATACCAAAAATTTATGATTAACAGTTTAGCATCATTAATAAATTGCCTCTAAAACATTTCAAAAAGTAAAATTCTATTCTGTTTATTTCTTTCGCTCCAATTCTCATCATGTCATCTTATGTGACCTTATAGATCCAGATAAACCAGATCATCCAGTCACATTGGTTCAAAGTTTTCTATCTAAGGCGGGGGTCGCCAACCTGCGGCTCTTTAGCGCCCCCTTGCTGCTCCCTGGAGCTTTTTCAAAAAAAATATAAAATCATGCAGGAGGTCAAACAAAAATTAATTATGTTTTCCAGTGCTATAAACATTTGTATAATAAATAAATTTTAACAATAATTAGCATCACAGCCATAGAGATCAGAGGTCACATCCTGCAGCAGGTCTCAGCGCGGCGCGGCGCCAGGCAGGTGGCTGCTGTAAACAAAGCGGTGGGTGTGTCTCAGACCATGGATCCCAAAGGGAAAAAGGAAGATAGCTGATGAGAACAGAGGATTAAAAGAAGGATGGAGAGAATTATTTGCTTTCATTACCAATCAGGAAGGATTGCCTGCATGTTTGCTTTGCAATGAGAAGCTGTCAAATAATAAAAACAGTGATTAGGAAAGGCATTTCCAGGGAAGGCTAAATCTGCAGCCCACCATCAAGCTGGGAGGGAGAGAAAAAGTTTGATTGCAGAACTTCTGGATAAATTAGAGGAGAGCAAAGATAGATTTTAAAAGTAGATTGCATCTTCAAACTCGACTACTGCTGCTGGTTTGGTGGCAAGCATAGAAAACGGTTCATAGATCCAACAGGTAGCGCTCTGATGCAGGGATGGAAACTTTCTTCCATTTTTTCCCCGAATCCTGAAAATAAAAATAACACCAAGGAGCGCTGGTGACGGAGGATGTGGGATTTCAGGGTTAGAGAGCTCTGCTCTGATGATGTCACTTCCTGCTCGGTTCCTCATGACTCCATCAGCTCCTCCCAACAGAAACACGTCCACCATAGAAAGATTCCTTTATCCTGTTTCTATCATTTCATCAATGCAACAAAACCTAAACGGCGTGGTGAATGGCGGTGAAGCTGCGTGTGATGAGAGCGTTCACTGCTCCTCTCTCACCTCATGCTGCTATGTGACATTTGCTCTAGGATAAACATTTGATCATGAATGTTTATTATATATTTAAGCCCACATAGTCATTTTCTATAGTGGGATAAAACGCTTAGAGCCGTGTTGCTGATAGAAGACTTTTAGATTTTTGCGGCTCCAGACAGGTTAGTTTTTTTGGTCCAATATGGCTTTCTGAGCAGTTTGGATTGCTGACCTTTGACCTAAGGAAAACCAGCTGATTGCATCAACTCACTGACTCTTCAGCAATCCCTCACAGTAAGCATGCTTGCAGCGACAGTGGAGAGGAAAAACTCCCTTTTAACAGGAAGAAACCTCCAGCAGAACCAGGCTCAGTGTGAGCGGCCATCTGCTGAGGCCGACTGGGGTTCAAGGAGACAGAAACAGATAGTTAAAAGTTAACTGCCTTGGCTATAAAGTCCACCATATTCTCCCGCGGTATGTTGACACAGTTAGCTTGGATGAGCTTTGAGAAACAGCACAGTTTAAACTGGGCGTGCACCAGGGGACATGGACACTTGCATGCTCATTTTTTTTAAGTGGAAAGTGCAGGTCTTTAAAAAGTCCTCCACAATACCTTTAATTAAAGGTTTAATTACAGCAACCTTAAAGCCTTTGGTACATATCCCTGTAACAGAGATAGATTAATCAAATCTAAAATGGATCAAAGGGAATACCTCCTTAAATAACCTGGTTGGAACTGGACCTAACATCAAGTTGAAGGCTTAGATGAAAACAATAATTCTGTTAACTCTGAAAGTTCAACTGGATCAAAGCAGTCTAAACCAGGTTCAGATTCCATGACTACCTCAGATGCTGCCCCACCCTCCACAGACAAACCAATCACGGATAGAGGAGTGCTAATTATCCTTTTTTGAATAAGATCAATCTTATTTATAAAGAATCCCATAACATCATTCCTGCTAAGAGCAGGTGGAATGGACGGTTCAACAGAGCTATGGCTCTGGGTGAGTTTGGCAACTGGATTAAAAAGAAATCTAGGATTATTCTTATTCTCCTCTATTAATGAGGAGAAGTATGCTGCTCTTGCTTTACAAAGGGTCCTCTTATACAGCAGAAAGCTATTTTTCCAGACTAGGTAGAATTCCAGTAGGCCTGTGGACTTAATTAATGACTTTAATAACTATCTGTTAATCATCAATAAATGGTGGAGAGGGGTTTATTAATGACGGCTGTTGTTAATCATTATATTTTCTGGTGGCCGTAGATCTAAATAAGTAATTTTATCTTAAAATACATGCATTTTTTCTTGATTTGAGGACTTAAGTGAGAAACTTTGCCAATGAAACAAGACAATTTACATTTAAAAAAGAAAAAAACAATTTTTATTAGTATTGTCTTAATTCAAGGGAATATTATCTAATTATCTTATTTTATGAGTAAAAAATCTCATTCAATAGGCAAATCATCTTATTTACCTACTCACATTAAGGGTAAATACACTTAATTTACTACATTTTTACTTATTTCCAGATAGATTTTGCAGTGTGAAAGTTTGCAGACAGGAAGACACAGGTCACTGGGTTGGACTCCAACCTGTGGCGTCAGAGCATGCTAACCCCTGCGCCGCCGCCACGGCCACAGAAAACACAATCAGACTCCAGATTCAATCCAGAAATAAAAGACTGGAGAAAAACTCCTTTCTCAAATTTGAGTTTTTTGAATTATTAGATTTTTCAAATTTCTGTCTTCGCTCTGGACCAATTAGATGATGTTGCTAACGTCCAGCAGAGCAATAGAAATGCAAAGACAAAGTTCTGGAAAACAATGCAGTTTGTTAAAATTCATCTGACAAAATAAAATATAAAATCTGTGAAGAAACAATCTAATTTGTAACATGAATAACATTTGGAAAAGCAGTGTGGATTGTTGTTTTTTTTTACCCTCCCCCCCCGCACTTTAACTCTGCAGTGTAAATAAACCCACTGATCTGGGGTCAGTTTCACCAAGCAGGTTTACTGAAATCTCTAAAGTTTTGTCATCCTCTCTTTCTGTTGCCATAGTAACATTCTCCCAGAGCTGACCTGGTCAGCAGCAGGTTTTCTTCATCTACTATGTCCGTTACACACATTAGGTTTTAAAAACAAACCGAAATTTAGTATTTACTGTGTAAAAGAAGACAGAATGGGCCTGAGGAGGAACCCATAGATGACAAACAGGTCCTTTTTGTTCTTTATCGCCACCTGCTGACAGGCATTTTCACCTAAATAGAAACATTGATCCACTATCATTCAATCATTAAACACACGGGCTATGGCAAGCCATTTTGATATGTAATAGTTTTACTGAACAGTATTACTCATATCTGAAAAAAAAAATCTAAATCTGGTCAAAATGACCATTTCAAACAAAATAACATTCTCCACATCTAGAAAAAAAACATTCTATGTCTAGAAATTAATTTTAGATCTTCCCACTTCATATAAACCTATACATTAACCCCAGCAGTAATCTCATCCTTCTCCATCTGCAGCTGTTGTTCTGTATTTCTTAACAAATTCTCTTTCATTTCTTCATTAAAATCTACTTCCTGTTTCCTGTCGTCACGGTGAGTTGTTGAATCGGGGATAATGGCTTTTCATACTTGTTACACGTGTTAAACTCTGAGTGGACCTACTTTGAGCTGATTGAATTAATTCATAGCATCTTAAATGACCTCAGGATAGATTAATTCAGAGTTTAGGATTAGAGTCTGACTTTTTTAAACCTGCTTGTTGAGACAGACCTCAGATCTTTGGCTGATGTTTTTACGTAGGAGCAAAAAGCATGAAGCAAAAAGCAAAGAAAACTGAGGAGCAACTTGTTGCTCTGACTTAAAAATGGCGAAATGTTCATGTAATTTAACTAACTTAAATTTCATGTTTCAATTGAAAATTAGCATTATTTTTTAGATACTTTGAATTTCATGTTGCCTAAAATGAAAGCTCCATTATCATGGAAACATGATAATAATTAATAAATATCTACTTGAAGGTGATGCTGTTGCATCACCCCATGATGTCACTCATTTGTCGGAGAATGTGACGTCATTGGCCGAGCGATGGATGATTGATGGGGCCAGTTACGCCGCATCATGTTACCAAAAATAACCAATTCTGCTCCATATTTAAATACCATAGTCTGTTATCTACTGGCTGCAGAAATATCATTGGAATTTATAGATAGTGGCAACTAGAAGTGCTACATTAGTAAATAAAAAGCCCCTCAATAAATAAAGTTTTATGAAGGTGTGAGGATTATAATCTGTGGAATATTCTGGGCGTTCATTCGTGATTGAGGAGCTGCAGATATTTTCTGGTAGATTGTGGCTCGAGGGATGAAGGCCAGAGGCTCCGGCGGCTCCATCGTCAACGTCTCCAGCCAGGCCTCCTCATGTGCTCTCAGGGACCACGCTGTGTACTGTGAGTCAGGGTGGGAGGGGTTCTGGTTCTGGTTGCTTCCATTAGAGCTGCTGTCTCTCTGCTTCACTCAGGTTCCACCAAAGGGGCCCTGGACATGCTGACCAAGGTGATGGCCCTGGAGCTCGGGCCCCATCAGGTACGGCTCCCTGCAAACCTTTTGACTGCTGTAGCTCTAGAACCCGAGGTTCTGATGGGGTTGCCATGGTGAAGGGAGCTGATAGCGGCGGTTCTGCTCGGTTCCTACAGAACTTCTGACCCATATTAGATCCTAGAGAGTACATGATGCACACTGATGATCCTGATGTAGATGTTCTCGGTCTGAGATAGAGCTGTCCTCTGGTTCCACCAGATCCGCGTGAACAGCGTGAATCCCACTGTGGTCATGACGAAGATGGGCCGCCTGGGCTGGAGTGACCCGGAGAAGGCCCGGTCCATGACGGCCCGCATCCCTCTGGGCCGCTTCGCAGGTCAGAGTTCTGAATGTGTGCTGCTGCCAGCCGAGCCCTGTGATTGGCCGGTTGCAGCGCTGCGGTTCCTCCAATCTGCTGATTCTAGTTCTGGTTGCAGAGGTGGAGGACGTGGTCCACAGCATCCTGTTCCTGCTGAGCGACAAGAGCAACATGACCAACGGGGTGATGCTGCCGGTGGACGGAGGCTTCCTGGCCTGCTGACTGACTGACTGTCTGCTGGTTGACCGCCTGCTGACTGACCGCCTGCTGGTTGACCACCTGCTGGCTGACTGTCTGCTGGTTGACCGTCTGCTGACCTCCAGCCTCCAGCGTTGGACCCAAACACACCAATAAAGCATCCAGCCTTTCCTCTGTGGTTTGGCTCCTGTGGTTTCTTTGTCATTTCATCAGGAAATGACATCACGTAGATCTGCATGAATTAGAATGTAGCTGAAACTCATTTTACTGAGGAAAGTGTTTTTAATAGATGAACAACCATGTCTGATGAGGCGAAGCTAGAATTGATGTTTGGATCAGATCAGCTTTCATTGCTGTTGGATCCAGATACTTTCTAGGCTGTGTGAGATTTACTCGGGTCATCCAGAACTTCAGGGTCAGAGGTCAACCCACCACAGCCTCTGATGAACAGACCGGCGGCCCGCTCACCTCTGGATAACGACTCTGCTTTGGTTCTGGTGTTCTGGACAGAGAGGATCTCCGTGACGTCAGACATTAGGAAAAGGAAAGCAGTCATTGCTATGGCAACACAGTGATACCCCATGTGGCAACATTTGCCCATTTCTTAAATCAATGTATGCAGACATATAAAACTTTTGCTTATTTTTATAAACTGACTTTTATTTTCTGTCAGTGATGAAGATGCAGCAAAGCAGCAGAACTTACACTTGGAGGAAGGTGTTTTCTCCGCCATCAGGCCGCCGCTAACTCACTATTAAAGAGCTAAACGGTCCATTGGCCCCTCCTACTACCACTAGGGGCCGGTTTCCTGCAACCTTTAGATCCATTCTTAGATCATCCAACACCTGAGTGACCTAATGGGACGGCCCTTAATATGGCGGACCCTCCGCGGGAAGGCGCAGTGTTTAGTGTTTAGGGGCCGGTTTGGGATTGTTCCTTACTTATAAGAGTAGACCCTGCATTGACAGGCAGCGCAGAAATCACGCCTCAGCGCTGGGCGGCGTGTTTTAATCTGAATCAACGGACTGATTACATCAGAGCTCCAGGGATAACTTTAAGCTTTGGAAGACATTACTGTATAAACAGAACAGCATATATACACTATATATATATATATATATATATATATATA